GTTTTAAATTTTAGCTTGCAGGGCGCCTGGGTGGCTCAGTTGGTTGAGTGACTGCCTTCGGCTCAGGTCATGATCCTGGAGTCCCGGGATCGAGTCCCGCATCGGGCTCCCTGCTCGGCTTCTCCCTCAGACCCTCTTCCCTCTCGTGCTATCTCTCATTCTCTCTCTCTCAAATAAATAAATAAAATAATAAAATAAATAAATAAATAAATAAATTTTAGCTTGCATCCCTCTTTAAGTTTTCTTCCTTTGCTAAAAGCTACTTAGGATGCCTATTTGCTAATATAGTAACAGCCCCCTATCCACTTTTCTTTTCTTTTTAAATTTTATTTATTTATTTATTTGACAGAGAGACAGTGCACGCAAGCACAAGCAGGGGGAGCAGCAGAGGGAGAGGGAGAAGCAGGCACCCCACAAAGCAGGGAGCCCAATGTGGGGCTTGATCCTGGGACCCTGAGATCATGACCTGAGCCAAAGGCAGATGCTTAACTGACTGAGCCACCCAGGCTCCCCTATCCACTTTTCATTTACATTATTCCTGAAAACCAGAAAACTTTATTGCAGCTCTGTTTCAGGGTCTATAGAAATAAAAAGGCTGCTTAGGACAGCCTGAAACTGAAGGTATAAAAACTGAACACAACTTCCATTATGATCCAGTAATTTTTATGCTTATACACACACACACACACACACACACACACACACACATACATTTTTTTAAATGCTGTGATTTTTTTTTTTTTTTAAAGATTTTATTTATTTATTTGACAGAGAGAGAGACAGCGAGAGCAGGAACACAAGCAGGGGGAGCAGGAGAGGGAGAAGCAGGCTTCCCGCTGAGTAGGGAGCCCAATGTGGGACTCGATCCCAGGACCCCGGGATCATGACCCGAGCCGAAGGCAGACTCTTAACGACTGAGCCACCCAGGCGCCCCAATGCTGTGATATTTTTAAAGGATCACTTCAAGAAGGCAAAGATAGGACACCTCAATGAGTCAACTCACGAGAAAACAAAAATGGGAGGAGCTAAGAACTGTAAACATCTCAACATTTCTAACAAGATCCACTCTCAAATGTTCCTCTTGAATTCCTTATCTGGCTTAATGTACAACTGTTTACAAAAAAATCTTTTTTTTAGCCACCCTCTAGTAAAGGTGATAACGTACATACCCAAAACCCCAAAAATTTTAGCTCTGGGTATATAACCCAGGGGACCTTTTGCATATATCTACCAAGAAGCATGCACAAGAAGATCCACAGCAGCATTTTCTTAATAGCAAAAACCAGAGGAAACCCAAGTGTCCAACAACAGTAAAATGCATAAATTGTAGTATATTCATACAATGGAATTACCACATAGTACTGAAAAGGAATGTACCTCAGATAAGTATGTTAACAAGAATGAAATCTCAAAATCATAATGTTGAACAAAAAAGAAACAGTCCAAGAAGAATACATATATACAGTGTGATTCCATTCATATAAAGCTCAAAAATATGAAATACTTTCTAAAAAGTATATTAAAGGAAAAATACAAAAGTGGGAAAATGTAAGGAAAGGTGATGGAGTAACACCAAACTCAGGATGACTGTTTCTTCTGGGAAGAGACAAGCTATTGTCCTGAAGCCTAGAGATGTTCAAAGGATGCCATTCCATTTCTTGGGACAGGAGGCTGGGACAGATGCATTCATTCATTATTATTACTCTAAAATGTACATCTATGTTATATATATCCTTGTATGTAGAATAGATTTTAGAATAAAAATTTCATTTTAATCTAAAGTAAATATGGTTAATTAATATAGTTAACTGCTAATATTTTGTAAATTTGGGTATCAGGCATACAGGTGTCACACCACTTCCTTTATTTTTGGAATGTATCATAACTTAATTTTTAAAAATTAAGAGTGAAGCACTATTAAATTGTATTTTGAAATTTAAGGACAAAATATCACAAACCTCTAGCAAGGATAAATCAAAGCAAATACTATTATAAAATGAAAAAAATGTGAAAAAATATAATCAGAAAATACACAATGCTATCAATATAGCATTCATTCTAAAACATTTTAACTTTAATCTAGTCATGAAATACAAAAATATAAGCAGCAAATTGAAGGGTATCCTATTTAAAAAAAAAACAAGATAAGATTTCATAAAAGACCATTGTAAGGGGGGTGGTGGGGGAAGGACGAAGGGCAGTGGAAACAGTGATTTATTCTCAATTAAAGGAAACCAAATAAATATGACAACCAAATGCAAGATATATTCCTTAACTGGTTCCTGGATCAAAAATCAAAATAGGGGCGCCTGGCTGGCTCAGTTGGTAGAACATACGATTTTTGATCTCAGGGCTGTGAGTTTAAGCCCCATGCTGGCTGTGGAGCCTACTTAAAAAAATAAAAATAAAAATAGGTATAAAGAACACTTTTGGAAAGAAAATAGAGAAAATTTAAGTAAGGGCAGTATATTACATAATAGTATATTGATGTTAAATCTCTTATGATAACGTAGCTCTTAAGGAAGGACAATCTTGTTCATAGGACACACCTGCTAAAATATTTAGGGGTGACATGTCAAGATGTTTGCAGATTACTTTCAAATGGTGAGGGAAAATGTACGTGTTTTGGTTTATTTATTTTTTAAATTTTATTTATTTATTTGACACAGAGAGAGAGCGAGAGAGGAAACACAAGCGGGGGAGTGGGAGAGGGAGAAGCAGGCTTCCTGCTGAGCAGGGAGCCCCATGCGGGGCTCCATCTCAGGACCCTGGGATCACAACCTGAGCCGAAGGCAGACGCCTAAAGACTGAGCTGCCCAGGAGCCCCAAAAGTGTATGTGTTTTTATAAGCAGAGAGAGAAAGCAGATGAAGCAAAAGGTTAGTAAGTAAATCGGTTTTTACTATTGAAATAGTAAAATTTACCGACGAAATAGGTTTTTACTATCTGTTCAAATTTTAATTTAAAAGTTCATAAAATAAAAAATTGGGAAAAAATATGTACTTTATCAGTTGAGTTATAATTTCACACATGATTTTAGTAAACAATGTCAGTTTGACAGAGGTTACTAAAATCAAATATTGACAGATCTATAAGGAAGTCCCAAAGATCTTCTATTAGCAAATTTTAAAACTTTTTCCCTAGAAATCATAAATTATGACTGCTTAACAGGATTAAAAATTACATTTTGCTTAAATGGTCAAAAATTATAGCTGTGCTTCTGAAACAGAGCATTATAATCAGTCTGAAGACATACGGGCTTTTAAAAAAATTGTTTGGCAAATCACTGGTACTATATACAATTCACAAAGGTTTTGTTTGATACTGAAGTAGATATAATCATACTGATATGTTAGAACATAATATTTTCAAAAGTCCTATTTAGCAAATAGAAGAATGTTTTAAAATTTCTTTCTCAAAATGGATCTATTTCCTAATGATGCAACCCATAGTTTTCAGGATTGCTAAAGCAAGGTAATAAGGATAGAATGAATTCCTCTAAAACACAGGTAGTTTCCCAGAAAAACTAATTATACTTCATGAAAATGGGTAACACTTATCACCTCAAGGATGCGTCAGACTTTAATCCAATTAATCTTATAAAATGTTTGGCTTAATTATTATTTACTAAAAACAAAACTACATTCATTAAAAACCCAACTTTCATCCAAATGTGAACATCAATGAGACTAAATGACATTCTAGAAATTACAGAAAATAAAATTATTTTCGATTAACGGCACCCACATAAAATCCATCACTTGTACAGGGATATGCAAACGAACCATGTCCAACAGGAGGGGAAATGGACTACAGATATTTCCTCCAAAGGCTGGGTGTGGGACAGTGTTGCTACAGGCCCGTAGGTGGGTAAACACATAGGGAAGAAAGTTTTAGCTGGGAAACCTGCATTTAAATTCTCATCTCTATGAAATGAGAGGCAGGTAGTAGTTAATTACTGAACAGCACAGTCTTTTAAATTTGTGAGTCACATGCCTAAGGGAAGAGCTTATAAGCAGGATGAGCAACAACCAAGGCAATCAAGTAAGATTTCAAAAAGAAGCAACAACAGGTTTTGAAGACTTTCAGACAGACAATTAGAAGCACCTATCTCAATATAATGCACATAATCCAACAGCCTGACTATGGACTAACCACTTTCTGCAAAACATGTCATGTACATTTGGGGCTATGTTTGTGAGGTTAGATATGTCTGAATTGCAGAGAATAGCTCTATTATCAACAGACAAGAGAGACTGAAAGAGAAAGGAGAAAAGATAACTTGGTAATACTTCTGCAGGCACTATAGTATTTTTTAAAACATTTAAGACACAGTTCCCTGCTGGCAAGCAACATTTAATCAACTTCAGGAGTCATAATATATTAAATATATTATTAATATATATTAATAAAAACATTAATATAGTGATATAATAAAATAATAGATTTCTATAAATATATTAAAGCTTTAACAACAGTACCAAGATGACAATACAAATATTGCCATACCACCACACATGATTATCTGAGAAGTATCAAAGACTACTGCTCCACAGGTGGAGAGATCACTGGGGGCTGAATTTAAATAAGCCTTCCAAAGACTGGCAGGGTTTGACTGTATGCAAGGAGGGAGTGGTGCAGGTTAAAATGGACATTCTATCAGGGGGACCCAGGGATGGTGCACTGTGCCTGGCCACTGTCCCACCTGAGGCCTGGATTCTAGAGTGGTGCAGCAGGATAATCCATGTGTGGCCTGCCCCAGATGATAAATACACAGCCACCCTGAAGCTCATGTCCGTAGTAGACATCGATATTCCTTTTAGTTCTCTTCCAATCAAGCATGAAGACCTCTGGATATAGAACAGCCAAGATGTCAAGATGTTTGAAATCCAACTACCATTCTTCCAGAAGGAGAGGATTAAGAGAAGAATACAGGGTTACGAGCATGGCCTCTGCAGTCAGACTGAGTACCAAGGTTAGAATCCTGGCTCCACCACTTACCTGTTATAATACTTCAACCCAAAGTTGCTTAACTTCATCCGTACCCAATCTGTAAAACAGGGAAAATAACTGCAGGTGTCTAAAAGGTGAGGATCAAAGGAGTTAATGTAGGTAGAGCACTTAGAACAGTGCCAAGTAAATATATGCTAAGTGTGACGTAGTGTTAGGCTACTGACCTGACATCTGCTTCCCAACATCTGTTTACCATAGGTCACTGAAAGTGCAAAAAATGAAACTGTGGATGAGGGGGGACTACTGTACTTTCTCTTTCCAAATCCTCGACCAACTGGGCATGATATAACAGCAGAATAAATATAAAATACTATATTAAAATATAAAATTATGGAAGGGAGGTGATAGCTAAAGGGTATGAGGTTTCACTTTGAGGGGATGAAAATGTTCTAAGTGACTGTGGTGATGGTTGCACATATTTGTGAATGTATTAAAAACCACTGAAATGTACATTTTAAATGGGTGAACTGCATGGTAAGTGTATTAATTTCACTAAGAGATTTTTATATTTCACCAATAAAAATCTACCAAGAATCGTGATGTGCATTTAGCTATATGGATGGTCTTATAACATTTTTAATGATAGCAAAACAAAATAGAAATAATTAATAATTATTAATTATTTAATTAAAAATTAAATAATTAAGTAAACTATAGTAAATTCATATTCTATAGTAATGATAGCTAACATTTATTAATTGCCAAGAATTATTTTTTATGTATTATCTCATTTATTACTTACAACAATCCTAGGTATTAGAAAAGAATGCCATCTTCATTTTCCAGATAAGGAAACTGAAACCCAGAGTAGTATTCTGCTCAAGGTCACACAGCTAGTGAGGACCTGGAGCCAGGATTCCAACCTGGGCAGTCTCAATACTGCCAGTATTACAAACTGCCAGTTTGTATGGCCACTATTTATACTACAGAAGAATAAGGACTTGAAAATATACTCACAATATATTAAAATAGAAAAATCAGGAATCAAAAAAACAACAGATACAGGGGCGCCTGGTGGCTCAGTCAGTTAAGCATCTGACTCTTGGTTTTGGCTCAGGTCACGATCTCAGGGTCGTGAAATGGAGCCCCACCTCGAGCTCCTTGGTCAGCACAGAGTCTGCTTGGGATTCTCTCCCTTTTCCTCTCTCTCCTCCTCTGCCCTTCACTGGGCGCTCTCTTTCTCTCTCTCTCTAAAATAAATGAATAAAATAATACTGGGTATCTCTGAGAGGTGGTATTACAATGGATAATTATCTTCTTTATACTCTTCTGCATTTTCCACATTTTGTACTGCAAGGCAAATTTAAGTGAAGTTCTTAAAAAAAAAAAGGTAGAAAGATAGTGACAATTCCAAATACTGCAAAAGGGACAATAAAATATGGAAGAAGCTGCTAAATTTGTTAACTGGGTCACAGACAAATTCAGTGACAATGGCAGGGCAGATTAAAAAAAAAAAAGCGGTGCATTCAGGTACAAACTGACATTTTGAAAGGTCTGGAGGTGAAAAGAATGGCGTATGGCCTCGAGGTAATAGCAGTGTCAAGGGAAGATTTTACTGGTTTGTTTTTAATTTGAAGGGAATTTGATCAGGGTTGTAATTGAACTGGAAATTGTCAAGGATGTAAAGACAGACGAGAGGAAGGTTTCAGAAGATACTTAGCCTTAGAAAAAGGGAAACACTACTTGTGAAACAGAAGAGACAGAAGGAAAAAAACTCATAAAAAGAGATCTTTGAGATGGAGAAAAGAAAGCAAACTTTTACATTTGGCACCTTCAAACTTCTCTAGAAAATATAAAGTGAAGTTATCTTCCAAAACTGAAAGGGTGGAGATTAGGCACAGGGAGAGAGGTTTGGAGTAGTGGCACAAAATGCTGGAAAGCAACTGGATTCACTAATTTGCCAGAACTAGTAATAACGATCTAACGACCGCATGACCATAACAGAAAGCACTGCAGGAAGCTGGGAAAATCCCTTCTTTCCCGCAGTTAGTATGCACATGAAGCTGCACCACTCAAACACAAGAGAATCCATGGTATGCCTGGAGATTACTCCCCTATTAGTAATCCCTAGGATAACAACCACTGTAAGAGTCTATGAAGTTGATGCGCTATCACTTCCAGGAGACGACATGAATCATCAAAAGAAGCATCAGAATTCAAGCATAAATTTCAAATTTGACAATAACAAGGTAGTTTTCTAGGGAAAATCAAGTTGCAAAGATCTTTGCATATACTTTTTTATATACATATAAATTTTGTATAATTGAAAAGTTTTCCCTAAACAGGTAGATCGTTAATGAAACATGGTATATTTAGTATAAATACCTTTCTAAAGCAGCTTTAAAAAAATAAGTAGCAATCGGGTACTCTTCACGTAAGAGTGAAACACAGGGACCCTGACTGGACGACACTGTGGGTACAGGAGGGGCTTGTTAACTAGTGGGCTTCACTGTAGCGTAACTGGGCCATCACCTGCCTATGCACATATGGAGACCCTTAAATGTTGGGCTCTGCTGCTCTCTTCTCTGGAGTCATTCAGTTTCTTAGAAATGAGTCCTCCAGTCTCCTCTGACTGCCAGTGTTCTACAAATAGGTAAGGAAAGGGACATGGACAGAAAGTAAGGACAGAGCTCATGATCCAGCAGATAGACTTCTGCTTAATCTCATTTATAGAGTACTCTTCCTTCTTCTGTATTCTCTCCAAATCTGGGATCTCACTGGTGTAGTTTCTCTAGACAATCAAACACCCAACTTCTGCTATGATACTAAGTCCAGGAAGGGTCTAGCACTGTTCAAGATAAATATAATGCTATAGGGGCGCCTGGGTGGCTCAGTTGGTTAAGTGACTGCCTTCGGCTCAGGTCATGATCCTGGAGTCCTGGGATCATGTCCCACATTGGGCTCCCTGCTCAGCAGGGAGTCTCCTTCTCCCCCGACCCTCCTCTCTCTCATGCTATCTCTCATTCTCTCTCTCTCAAATAAATAAAATCTTTAAAAAATAAAAAAATAAATAAAAAATAAATAAATATGCTATAAATGCAACCACATGAATAACTTTAAATTTTCTAGTACCATCATGAAAAAAGAGAAAAGATTTGAAATTAATTTTAATATATTTTATTTAACCCAATAGATCTAAAATGGTATTTTGATGTAATAAATAAAAAAGTATTAAGATATTTTCCATGTTTTCACACTTCCAAATCTGGTGTGTACTTTACATTTAGATTTATACCTGAGATTTAGCACCATCTCAGTTAAGACTAGCCACATGCTAAGTATTCAACAGCTACATGTGGCTAGCGGCTACCATATTAGATAGGATAGTCACAGTCATGCTAGGGTAACAAATGACTCCAAAATTTCAATGGCTCAACATAACAAAAGTTTACTTGTGTCTCATGTGAAATGTCCAACACGGGCAGGCAGGGTCTGCTTCATAGTCATCCAGGCTAACCATCTTGTTCTTGTATCAAATGAAACACACGGCTAAGTACTTCTTAAGTTAAAAAAAAAAAAAAAAAAAAAAGACCAGAGACTCTTCATGGGCCTTTCACTATGTCAACCCAGAAGCAACACGCACTTCCCCTCAAAGACCACTGGCCAGATCCGTCATGTGATACCAACCTAACTTCAAGGAAACAAAGGGATTAAATGTTCCCATATGCTTGGAATGAAAGGAGAAGTGGATGTGAAAGAGCACTAAAAAGTCATTACCACAGGCAGGTACCTGGCTATGTGGACAAGTGTGAGACAGAAGATCTAAGCCACAGATTCCAGGGCATAACTGTTTCTTATACAGATTTTTAAACCATTGTTTAGCCTGAACTCTTACCCTGTTACATAAAACTAACACCTACAATTCTGGGACACTGACAGGTATAAAATCCAGTTTGCTTGTTAGCATGTACCTCTATAAGCTAAACAGCAAGTAAGTATTCACTGGAGAGAACAGCAGGGAAATCTGAAAGTACATATAAAACTGGGGAGGGTGCAAGAGTTGATGATCCAGAGCCTAACAGCAAATGGTTTGAAGCTGACATGGTAGCCAAACCTTTCTGAACTGGGAAAATACCCAACGAGGCCTCCCTTCCAGGACAGAGCCTTGCACTAAAGAAACTGCTGGGAGTAAAAACAAAATTGAACAGAAAAAGTATAGCTGAGACAATGGAAAGAGAAGACTGAGGGAGGAGTAAGGGGCAGTGACAGAACTAGGACTGGTCACCTTCTCTAACGTAACCGAAAACAACTCTGTCAAGTTAAAAATGCTTTCCTGAATCACTATGTTTCCTTCTAACCCTCCAGGAAAACTAATTTCAAAATGACCCATGAGAAAGCTTCCAGATTCAAATCTCAAAACAAGTTATTATAAGGCTAAAAAAACATCCTTACACACAACTAAAGCAAAACCAGAAGAGCAGCAACACAAAACTGATAATAACTATAACCTACTAAAAAGCTAGAAGCATTAAGTATATAAGGCATGAAAAACAACATCAGAACTGGAGAAACTCAGAATTCTAAGTAAGAACATGACTCAAAAAAGAATTTTAAAAATTTTATTTCAGATATAAAGACGAAAAACAAAGCAGCACAAGAGTAAATTAACATGACAGGTAATGTGAAAAGGAGTCTAATCCTAAAAATAAATTTCAAAAAATTTAATGAAGAAATAAAAGGATTCTAGGAAAAGTGACAAAAATTTTTCCTTTATATAAAATAGTAATCACTGAAGAAAGCCCAAGAAAGGGAACTAAACACTAAAAAAAACTACACAAAAACATTAAAAACTAATTCAAGCAAATTTTCCTAAAATAAGATTTAAAACTATATGTTCAAGGCATATACAATGCATACACTTGAGGATATGGACACAAAATAACACCAAGAAATATTGTAATAAAATTACAGAATTTTTAAAAGAAAAACTATTTGAGCATCTGGGCCAAAATGTCAAGTAACTTATCAGAAGAGAAAATTATATATTATCAACAGATTTTCCAAAGCAACACTTTATGCCAGAAAAAAAAGTTAAGA